CTTTCAAACGCATTGGATCAAAGGCGACTATGAATATAAGTGTAAGTTTACTTTCAATATTAAAATCATTGTCGTATTGCTAACATGAAGTAAAATTTTGAAATTTTAAATTCTCAATCCTTATTACTCGCCCACCTGAATCGTCAAATTCGATTACATGATCAGGTGGTATTGTTGTGGACTACAACGATCCGAATAGTTATCGATTTGAATGGAACAAAGGGTCACAACCATGGTGTCGTTCGCGTGAAAAAGATAATTTATTCAAATGGCTCACCGCGATATTTTCAACAATCGGTATAATTATGGTATGTTTTTGGAGAGAAATGAAAATTTTGAGTCATTTGTTAAATTCATATTTCGCATTACTATCATTTAATATAGAAAGTTTTGAAGAAAGTTTACAATCATTATTATATAAACTAAGAGTGCAAAATACGCTTGAGAAAAGGTGAATTTTCGAAGGAAAGAAATTTTCATGCCTGATATGCCGAAAACCAGTCATTCCAAATCTTCATCCTATTTTGGCTATGAAGTCACCAAATAGGTGGATTAGAAGAGGACGAGAAGAGAGTGTGAGAAAGAATTGAACTGTTAAAGAGTGATTTGAAATGAAATATTGCTTCAGGCAATTGTCCTTATATTTTTGTGTTGTTGGACTTTAAAACAGAAAAGGCGGCAGCAAGCGGAGGAGAAAATTTCATCGTTATACAAAATGCCGATTCGAGGTTCCATGGTAAGCCGTGACTGGAGGGTAAATATTTTCATTGATTAGTTCATTTTAATTTATCTTCAATGAAATTTAGCTGTAGATGAAAGTTTGAAAATTGATAGTAAAAGTGCAATAATAGTGAAATGATCTTTGGATTAATTTTAAAAACATCGAATATTTGATAAGAAGTAAATTGGATACTTTTCGAATATTTAATATTATTTAGTTTTCAAGATTAAACACCTAGACAGTATCATTATAGTACAACATTATAATTGCACAAAGAGTTTTTCAACAGAAATTTTGAAAAAATATTTTTTTCTTGCCTTTTTTTGTGATAAGATAAAAGTTAACAAATTATAGTCCTCGGAAACTAGACCATTTACGAAGGCAAGAACAGACTCGATGTCAAGCGAAACGAATGGTATGTATCATGGTAATGAAAGCGATTTGCATTATCGCGGAGGACCAACTAGTGGTCCTGCTCCTGTAATAGCTGATGGTGGTAGCGGGTATCGCGGTGAAACTAATGGTCAGTATCGTGCTATTGATGCGAGTGCACCGTATAGTGAGCAGTATCATGAGTCGGTAGCCAATTTATCCAAGCGACCATCGAGTCCAATCAAAACAACTATCATACGGAGTAGCAAGTAATTTTCCGAATAATTCGAATTTTAATTTTAAATGAATTTCAACTTCAAATTTTATGTAAAGATACCACTAAATATTGAACTGCATTTGAAAGAGGATTCGTAGAATGGGGAGACATGAAGAAAACGCTCAAAAATATAGCTGAATTGTTTTTCAGGACAGTGCCGATTGGAAGTCATATTCTGCCACAGTCAACATCATCAACGCCACCAGTACCAGTGCATTCCAAGCTTACCGACGAACAAAATGGAAGTGATCATGCCCAACTTTTGGGCCTTAATACCAGTGTTTGAGAGAAGCTTGTCGTTATTCGGCCGAAATGATGGAAACTACATAAATTTAAAATTTGCAAATAACCCTTCTACTAATTTCATCATTTTAGGATCGAAATATTTCCATTAACTTTTCAATTTTAGAATTAAAATTCATTAAGATCATTAGGGATCTATTCGTCATTTCTTCACCATTCATTTTTTTTTCCAGATAAATCGCGTAGTATTTTGAATGCAACAATGATCTAATGCATAGTGATAATATCAACCATAAAATGAATCTGTATCATTGTAGATTTATTTGCTGGTTATATTTATCTTCGATAGCATTTGCAGGTTGCATTATTTCAATTTTATTACCATATTATTTGGCAGAATTGAAAGTTCGAATATCATTTTTAAAATTATAATTTACATCCATTAAATTAAAAGATAATTTTGCAACATCGAAATCAATCGTATAAATCAATGACCATTAAATTATAAAATTTCATATATAGGTAGCAACCTTTTAGTACCAATTTGTTTATGCCAATGTTTGAATTCATTTTATTGTTATATTGTATAAAGTAAGGTAATTTCGAGCAAACTATTTCAACAAACCTTTGAATTACTCCATGAAAACTTATTTTTCTTTTATTTTTTTTCTTTGCATATGATGATTTTATTCCTCAAAGTTTTGCTAATATTGCTTGCCTAGCTTATTTATTGTCAAAACTTTATGAATAACCTCGTGGTCACGTATTATTTTCATACTTCTCAACAATATATTAATGATTTAAAATCATTCCTCCTCTTTTGCATTAATTTGTTTTGTTTTTTGTTTTCTTTTTTTTTTCTATTGCAAACAAATACTACTTAAGCAAATTATAGGAAACACATTTGGCTCATTTATAAATAGCTCTTCTACAAGTCATATATCATTATCATATAACTGTTATCTGAAATCATTTGGCCAGTAACGGAATATTCATCAATTCCAAATTTTATGAATCTTTTTTTTTTCGCAAACATTATGAATTGTTGTGAAAAAAAAACAGAAATATTGTATTACTTGATGAAATTTAATTCTTATCAATTATTAATTAACCGTATTGTGACCTCATTTTAATAAAGCGCTTGAACGAATGTATTCTGTTGCATCTCTTTTTTTTGGGAATTTTTTTCAATAAAATATTTAAATTAATAAATGCTATAAATGAATGTAAGATTGCTGATGAAAAAAAGAAAAGAGTTTGATAATGATTAAATGGTTCAAATTTATATAAGATATTTCGAATGAACCTATATTTGACCTCTTGCTGATATATCCAATACTTCTTTGTGCCCATAATATAGCTATCTTATTGATAAATTAATTATATTTTAAATTTTTTGAAATAGATATTACTATTTTGATTAAAGAGGAACTTTGGGTAATTTCTATCATTCATTGATTCATTTTAATTCTTAAATTATGGCAAGCAGTTTAAGTGAAATTAAGCCATTTTGTCATAACATATCATCATACATCTTCATAATATGTCTAAATATCTCCTCATAGACAATACTTTTTTTATAGATATTAGAATTTATGCATATTTTAGATATCGTTTATTATGTAGTTTTCGAATTTAGCTGAAATAAATTGGCGCAAAATGACAAAAAATTATATTTTTGTTTATTAATTGTATGAAAATAAATGATCGTTAAAAAAGCATGTTAACAAAGATTAATTTTTGATTATTTATTATCAAACAATTAATAATTCAATCCTGCATTTATACTACCTATTCTTCTGCTAATTGATAATATATTAACAATTTTAAGTATTTCGTTTATAAATTTAATAGCAATCAATAAATATCCTTAAAATTTTTTTAATCAATTCCATTCTTTTCGTATGTTTTATTTATTTATTTTTTCTATTTTTAATTAATGCAACATTTCGCATTTGTATATAAAATTGGCATTTTCTCAATGTATTATCAGAAAAAATTTACCTGAAAATTCACCCAAAACTTTGATAATTTAAGTGAAATATATGTATGATATATAACCGGTTAAGATATACTCCATTTCTTTGCTCCTCTCATACTCAATAAATGATGAATTTCTCTCTTCCTCACTCTCGTCTTACCATTCTGAAACCTTCAATAATTATTAATTTTGAAAAGTTCTGCATAAAATATTGACATGGAAGCCCTCCAGCATAACTAACATGTCATAGTATCAAAATGTGATTGGAAAACTTGAAATTAATGAAATTTGTCATCAATTTTCTTGGGATTCGCAATATGTCAACACAATTGAAAGATGTATTACACTAAAAGTGAAAACATGAATGTTTTAAGATGCAATGCACATTTTATTAATATCTAATTACCACAAACTTAATCTATTAATAATGACAAGAATTGGTTAATATATTGTCGTAGATAACGCTCGAAGCTTAATTAATTAATTAGTATATTGTTGTGTGAAAATATTATTAAAATATGATGCATAAATTAGATATTCATTACTATAAAGAGCAAAGATGAAATTTCAAAATTTGATTAACTATGCATGCATGAAATAGGGACATCATGCCGATTTTTTGATTAAAGTTTATAGAATCACAAATATGAAATCATCAATGATTAGAATTACTATTAGTAAAGTTATGAAATTGTAAAAAGTGTAAAATTATAAAAAGTAAAATAAATAATTGAAAAATAGGAAAAAAATAATGACAAATTGTGAAATAATGTAGCAACAAAGTTTTATATCAAATTTAAAATTCATTATGAATTATAAAATAAATTGAAAATATTGCAATAACAATTAACAAAAAATGTTTTTTTTTTTTTTTTTTGTGCGTATGTATGTGTTGTTTTATATATTTAAATTTATATTAGATGGTCATATAGAA